CAGATACCTCACGGATTCTTAAGGGTTCCATGAGGATTCTTCGGGATCCCCTTCGGAATGTTGAAGGAATCCCAAATGATACCTTAGGGGGTGTTAAGCAGTCCCCAAGCATACCTAGGGGATCTTGAGGATTCCATAAGGATACTTCAGGGGTTCTTCAGGATTCCCTAAGGATACCGCGAGGATTCTTAAAGATTCACTCGGGAATCTAAGGGATTCCCTGAGGATCCCCAAAGGATTCCTCAGGGATGCTTAAGGCTTCCCAGAGGATTCCCTACGGATTCTTGTTTGGATTCCCTGGAGGATTCTGAAGGATTCCTTAAGGATTCCTAAGGGACTCTTAAGGATTCCTTGGGTTCCCGAAGGATTCCTTGAGGTTGCCCTATGGATTCTTGAGGATTCCTGAGGGATTCTCAAGGATTCCCGAATGATTCCGACTTAAGGATTCCCTAAGGAGTCCCTAGGGCTTCAAGGATGCCCTGAGGATTCCTTAGGGATTCTGAAGGATGCCCTAGGGGTTCTTAAGGATTCCCGAGGGATTCATTACGATTCCGAAGGATTCCCGGAGGATTCCCGGAGGATTCCCGGAGGATCCCTTAGGGATTCTTGATGATTCCTTAAGGATTCCGTAAGGATTCCATCAGGATTCCCAAAGGCTTCTTTAAGGATTCTTAAGGATTCCCTAGGGACTCCTTAGGGACTCCAAAGGCTTCCTTAAGGATTCTCAAGGATTCCTTAGGGAGTCGTAAGGATTTCTTGATGATTCTGAAGGATCCCCGAGGGATTCCCTAAGGATTCTTAAGAATTCCTTAGGGAGTCTGAAGGATTCCTTCGGAATTCCTTTTGGGATTTTGAAGGATTCCTTCGGGATTCTTAAGGCTTCCTTAGGGATGCTTAAGGAGTCCCTAGGGATTCCCCAGCGAGTCTTAAGGATTCCCTAGGGGTTCTGAAGGATTATTTCGGGATTCTTGGGGATTCCCGGAGGACTTCGCATGGATTCTTAAGGATTCCTGAAGGATGCCCAAGGGATGCTTAAGGATTCCCTAAGGAGCCCCTAGGGATTCTTAAGGATTCCCTCAGGAGTCCTTAGGGATTCTGAAGGATTCCCTAGGGATTCCTCCAGGAGTCCCTCGGGATTCTGAAGGATTCCCTCAGGACCCCCTACGGATTTTCAAGGATTTTTAAGGATTCCCTAAGGATTCCCTAAGGATTTCCTTAAGGATTCCCTAGGATTCCCTAGGATTCCCTAGGGATTCCCTAAGGATTCCCTAAGGATGCCCTAGGATGTTGTGTTGTGTTGTTCGCCCCCCCCCCCCCCTTCGGACTGACCGGGGGGGCAGTGCCGGCCTTCTCCACTGTGGTGGAACCGGCGGATCCGCTCCCGCACCCCGGGGGGGCCATGCCGGCCTTAACCTTTGTTTTTGTTGGTGATGATGCTGTTGTTGAGTTTCCATTTCTAAAGAATAAATATGGTTTATCCCCCCTGGGCTGATCCATCCCGGGGCTCGCACCTTGTTTTTGTACAAGGTGAAAGTGTGGGGTCACCAAACTGTGCCACTGCCCCCTGGTTTACAACAGCAACAACACCAACAACAGCAACAACAACAACAGCGGTTCCCGCATGATACTCCCTCACAATGTATTCCCAAATCGCGCTCTCGCGGGGGACTTCCTTACAATTTATACAAGAATCGCGCTCTCGCGTGGGACGACTTCCTCGCAATGTCTTTAGATGCCGCGCCCTCGACACTCAGGAATCACGCTCTCGCTAAGGATTTCCTCACGATTTATTTGTGAATCGCGCTATCGCTCGAGACCTCCTCGCGATTCCTGCAGGACTCGCGCTTCAGCAACTCGCCTGCCCCTCGTCCCTTCCTTCCATCCGTCCTTTCTTCCCCCGCCTTAGGGTCTGCACGAACTACATGTTGCAGGTGAGAATTGTACACCCCTAAAAGGGTACGATCGAAGACGAAGAGGGCGGCTATCGAGGGTTTGGGATATACGTGTTGACTGGCACGCGAGCAGACACGAGCGAACAGTCTTAAACTGATTAATCGTGGTGTTGTTGAATTTCATTTCTGCAGAATGATTATTGTTGTCCCCCCTCCAGTAACTATTGTATTTTCAAATTCAAGTGCTTATCCCGGGGCTCGCACTCTGTTTTTTACCAGGGAAAGTGTGGGGTCAGCAAGCTGTGCCCGTGCCCCCCGGTTTACAACATCAACAACGGCTCCCGCGTGATACTTCCTAACAGTTTATTTTCATTCTCGCGCGGGACATCTTGACAATTATACAAGAATCGCGCTCTCGCGTGGGACGATTTCCTCGCAATGTCTTTAGACGCCACGCCCTCGACACTCAGGAATCACGCTCTCGCTAAGGATTTCCTCACGATTTATTTGTGAATCGCGCTATCGCTCGAGACCTCCTCGCGATTCCTGCAACTCGCCTGCCCCTCGTCCCTTCCTTCCATCCGTCCTCTCTTCCCCCGCCTTAGCGCCTGCACGAAATACACCCCTAAGTGGGTAAGATCGAAGACAAAGAGGGCGGCCATCGAGGGTTTGGGACATACGTGCTGAATGGCGCGCGAGCAGGTAATAGCAAGCAGTTTTGACATGATATGGCTGTTGTTGTTGCTGCTGTTGTTGTTGTTGCTGCTGAGTTGTCACTTCTCATTTCTTAATGGTAACTATTCAACAAGCTTGCACCGCCCCGCCAGCCCGAACCACGGAGAGTTCGGCAAGACTCGTGCCACCGTGCCCGGCCTGTGGTTCAGGAGATGCATCCGAGGGTCTCCCGGAGGGCCTCTTTGGAGGGCTATTGAGGGAGGGGGCATCCGATTGACGTTTGGGGGCCTCTCGGGGGCCTTTTCGGGGTCTCGTGGGTTTCCTCTTGGAAGCCCCTCGGGCCTCCTGGGGCCACCCCTCCCGGCGGGCACGACTTGAGATGTCAGCTCGGATTGCCCGTCTTGGGCCCTGGGCCTCTCCTGGGGCTCTCCTGTGCAGTCTTGGGGACTCCTGGGGCCGTCTTGGAGCTCTGCTGCGCCGCCTTCGGGCTCTATACAGAGCTAGCTTAAGGGCCCTCTTGAGAACCTGATGGGCCGTCTTGCAACGATCTTGGGGGCTCCTTGTGCCGTAGTGGGCGCTGCCAAGACGGAAAAGGCATGTTTCTTGAATGTGTACGCTTCTCAATGGGAACGGGGTGATTTTTGCATCTTGACGTTCTCTCGGCGGCCCTCTGGGATTGGGCCGTCTTGGGGGACTCGTCGGCCGTCTTGAAGCCATCATGGACCGTCGCGGGGTTACCCTTGGCCGTCTCGACGCTCCCTTGGATTGCCTCAGCGCTCATTGGGCCGTCTTGGAGCTTTTGGAGGCTCCAGAGCGCCCCCGGGGTGCGCCGACGAGCTCGCGCCCCCCCCCCAGCACCCCCCCTCTAATACAATGCTTGACCCCAGGGGGGGAGAGGAGAATGGGGACAGCCAATCATCTCGCACGCTTCCTCAGCCCCGGCAAGTAGGGGTCGGCGGATTGTTGACCCCCCCGCCCTCTGCAATTTATTGAGACGCCGCGCCCTCGATACTCGAATCACGCTCTCGCTCTGCACTTCCCAGCGACTTACTTGGGAATCGCGCTATCGCTCGACACTTCCTCCCGACTCATGTGATGCTTCAGCGACACGCCCGCCCGACGCAGCCGTCTGGGTCCGCCCGCCAGGCCCGCCCATCTGGTTCTGCCACGTGCTTTCTCCTGCTCCTAGCCCCCTCCTGCTAATCCCTCTCGTGCTGTTTTTTTCTCCCTCCCCCTTGTCCCTTCCCTCCTCTCTCCCCCCCCCGTGTTGGGGGCTGCGCCAACGACGTGGGGCATGCAAGGAAGAGCAGCTGCCTCGTGCACGCAGGCTCCAGACGCATACTGCCGTCGGTCTAGGTGGTGGACGTAAGGAAAACTCCAAGCCTGCAGTCTGCCGTCTGGAGGGCCTCTCTGGCTTCGGAGTGGGGCTCGAAAAGCCCCAGGGGGGAGGATGCACGGGCGAGTACGGGCCAGCTAAGAAGCTGCAGCGTGTGACCAGCGCAGCGGGGTCAAGGATGCGAACCCACATGGGCCCGCGCCCAGCGAAACGGAGAGGCGAAACCTTGGGCCACGGCACCCCAAATGCCGAGCAACAACTTGTATCCCGTAGGGCTGGGGCCGCTCCTCCTTCCCCCCTCCATTCTCATTTCCTCCCTCCCCCTCCTCTATCCCCTCCTCCTCCTGCTCCGCCTCTCCCTCCCCTCCCCCTCCTCCGATACCACCTCCATCCTCATTTCCTCCCTCTTCCTCTCTATACCCCCCGGGGGCCACGTTCGCTCGGGCCGAAGCGGCACTGGCGATGCGTCGGCCATCCCGCCTCCCCACTCCCCCTGCGTGTCCTGCCTGCCCTTCCCCAGCGGTTGCTGCCGAGTGCCTCTTGCCGTCGGCACTCCTTGGCTCTCCCTCTCTGTGGCCGTCGAGGAGAAAAAGGTCCGTGTCGTCGTCCGTCGTCGCCGTCCTTCCGTCTCGTTTCTCTACTGGGGTCTTCTTCTTGTCGCCACTCTCGAGTTGTTGCTTCGACCTTTCCGCCCGCCCAGGCGGCGAAGTGCGCCTGGGCGGCGCAAGGCTTCGTCTCTTGGAGGCCCTACTGACCTCACTCATGAGTCCTGAGGAGGAGGAGAATCGAGGACAGAAGCACAGTGACCATGGCCAAGATGTCGCGGGATCTTGTCGACGCCGATCCTGGTCATGGCCCATGCTGGCCGTCGCCCATTCGCGAGAATGATTTACCGACTGGCGATTGCCAAGATATGGACGATGACCCGGAGCGACGTGTTTCCGCGCTCGGTCTTGGTCATCGCAGTCGTTTTCTCTTTCGCTCCGGCGGAGGTGGGCGGCCACGGCGGTGAGGCGGAGGCGGCAGCCCCCGTCGCTGCGCTGGGGTCCGCTGGGGCCTGCCCGGCCGGGCCCCGGTGCCCCCCCCCCCCCGCAGAGGTCGTGGTGGAGGAGCGCGTCGTGCACGTGCCGAGGCGGGAGGTCCAGGAGCGGCTGATCGAGGTGCCCAAGGCGGCCTTCCTCCTCCTCCTGCTCCCCTTCCTCCTCCTCCTCCTCCTCCTCCTCCTTTCCTCCTCCTCCTCCTCCTCCTCCTCCTCCTCCTCCTCCTCCTCACCCCCGTCCTCCTCCTCCTCCTCCTCCTCCTCCTCCTCCTCCTCCTCCTCCTGCTCGTCGGACGGGGCTACGGTCAAGACGCTGAGATACGGAACGGTTCGGGTTCGGAAGGGGCTCGATGTTCCGTAGGTCCTTCTGTGGTTGTTCCTCTTGCCCTCCTCGTGAACGGAGGCGCTTTCGAGGCCAAAAAGGGGGTTCCTTACTGCAGCAGCCCGACTGTAGGACGAGGATGCGTCCGTTCCTGCGAGCGTTCCGGAGCGCTCTCAGAAGGCCGCGACGCCCGAGGCATCCTCCAGAGCCGCCAGATGTCAGAGATTCCCGATTTTCGGCGGCAAGCCCAGGGGCAAAGTGAGAAGGAGGAGGTCTTCTCAGAAGGCTCAGAGGAGGTCTTCTCAGAAGGCTCAGGAGGAGGTCTTCTCAGAAGGCTCTTCTGAGGCGTTTTCTAAGCCTTCTCCGAAAACACAGAAAACTTCTCAGTAGGCGCGAGGGCTTCTGAGAAGCCCAGCCGCCTTTCATCCTTCTCGCTGCCCCCCTGATTGGAGGGAGGGTCTATTGCAGAATCGCTGATGGGTCTTGGGTCTGCACTGGTCTTCTTCTTCCTCCTCCTCCTCCTCCTCCTCCTCCTCCTCCTCTTTCTCTTCCTCTGCCTCCGCCTCCGCCTCCGCATCCGCCTCCGCCTCCGCCTCAGCCTCCGCCTCAGCCTCAGCCTCAGCCTCCTCCTCCGCCTCAGCCTCCGCCTCAGCCTCAGCCTCAGCCTCCGCCTCCGCCTCCGCCTCCGCCTCCGCCTCCCCCTCCGCCTCAGCCTCCGCCTCCGCCTCTTCCTCCTCCTCCTCCTCCTCCGGTCCTCACTCACTCCCTCCTCGCCGCCGAGACCTATATCCGCGTCCTGGCTTCGTCTAGTGTCGCCCCCTCCCTGCAGTCTCGGGTGCTCGCCCCCCGCTGTCCTCCCTGCTGCTGCTCCTCCACGCCTCCTCGCACGCCTCGCTGCTTCCCTCCCTTTTTTCCAGGGCAAGCAGGAGGAGAGGAGGAAGAGGAGGAGGAGGAGGAGGAGGAGGAGGAGGAGGAGGAGGAGTAGGATGAGGAGGAGGATGACGAGGACGAGGACAAGGACGAGGACGAGGACGAGGGCGATGAGGAGTTGGAGGAGGAGGAGGAGGAGGAGAAGTTGGAGGACTTGGAGGAGGAGGGGAGGATGAGGATGAGGAGGAGGAGGAGGAGGATGCAGTGAGGCAAGACCCCCCCCTCCCCGTGCTCGCCCGCCCCCCGCATTCCCGCGCGCGCTCCGCTCCCCCCCCCGTCCTCTCGAGGTCCTCCTCGTCCTCCTCGTCCTCCTCGTCCTCGTCGTCCTCCTCGTCACTCGTCCCCCTATCGTCCTGTTCCCCCCTCGTCCTCCTCGCCCTCTTCGCCCTCGCCGTCCTGCTCCTCCGCGTCCCCTCGAGGTCCTCTGGGGGGCCCGGGCTGGCGCCTTCCGCCCCTCCCCCCCCTGGCGCTGGGGCCTCGGCCTCGGCTTCTCGTGCGCTTTGTCGTCGGGTGGCGCGTTAGCGGCCTGCTCCGGTGCCGTTCTGGAGCCCCGTGGTGCCCCAGGGTTGTTCAGTCGGGCCTGTCCCCCTACAGGGGGAGTTTCGACGGAAAATTAAACATGCCCCCAAATAGTCAAAAGATAGTCTAGAAATAGTCAGGGGATTTGGTTTTAAGTATTTGTTTGACCTTCTTGGGGCATCTTTGGGGTATTTTTCCATTTTTCGCTGAAAATCCCCCTGTAGGGGGACACGCCCGACATAACACTAGGGGCGCCCTCTCTAATTCGGCCCCCTCCCGTTCCATGTTGGCTCGGATGGGGCAGCTAGACGTTGATCGCTTGGTCTTTCTCCTCTCCCGCCGCCCCTTGCTGCACGATTGGTCTATCGATCAGGGCCAACAGACGTCGAAGTTCACATTCGAAGCATCGGCGGTGCAGCGGAGGAGGGGAAGCGCAGGAGGTGGGCATATACACCAGGAGCACCAGACATTCCACCAGTCCCCAGGCGCTCGTCCACATCCTCCTCCTCGTCCTCCTCCTCCGTCCTTGCTCCTTAGAAATATTTCCTCCTGGAGCACCCCCAAACGTGTCCGTAGGGCGGGCCTGACATTTCGCCTGCGACTTCCCCACCATTTATCATCCTAAAGCTTGAAGTTTGCAGTAGTTTCACGGATGGAAGGGGCGGTCGGTTTCCCAAACGTGGCGCCCGCCCCCGCGCCGCGTGCATCCAATTGGGAAGTTCGCAGCACGTTCAACGATGGAGGGTGGGCCGATTTCAACATGTGGTTCTCGCTTCAGCATCGCGCATATTAGTTGGGAGAATGTGCAGCAGCTTTACAGGCAGAGGACGGTTCTTTTTTAGACGTGGCCCTCGCCCCAGCGCTGCGCACATTTGCTTTGAACACTTGCAACAATGTCAAGGATCCACATGGTCGAAGTCCCAGGGTTCTGACAAGATTTAGATCTATCAGGGCGTAACCGTCACCTTGATCCGCGGTGCTGAAGTCCTAGGAATGGTGCTCTGGCGAAGCAAGGGGTCGTCAGGACGCAATAGTCACGTTTATTCGCGGCGCTCACATCCCAGGGATGGTGTTCTGGCACGGTTGAGGACTCAGACAGTTGTCTTCCAATGGGGCGTTTCCCGCAATGAGCATAGTTTCTTGCAGGGTCCTATGACGATGGAATTGGGAGGGAGGGCGTATTGCAACATCGGTGGTGCGTCCTAGGCTTACACTGCTCCTCCTCCTCCTACCCCTCCTCCCCCTCCTCCTACTCCTCCTCCCCCACCCTCATCCCCGCTTCCCCCAACCTGCTCCTCCTCCTCATCCTCTCTTTTGCCCCGAGGAAGAAAGAACCACGAGCACATAGACCCTCCGAGGTCCGCGCGGATGCTTTGGATCGGAGCTGGACCCTCCTCCCATGGCGCGCGGAGCGCGCCATGGGCGGTGCCGGAGGCCCCGCCAGGGGGCTCCGGCGCAGATCTAGGAGATCCGCGCGCAGTTCCGAGAGTTTGTTTGTGCAGGTTCGGGTTCTTCTATTGACCTCGTGCGTCGCCTGCCCGCAGGAGGAGGAGGGAGGAGGAGGAGGGAGGAGGAGGAGGAGGAGGAGGAGGCACACGGAAAGACTCTTGTTCGGCCGCCGCTTGGATCGTCGAGGCGATTGTGGTCAGAGAACATCATCGATACACGTTTCCTTTAGCATTCCGCGGCATTTTCTTCAGCTCGCCCGTCTCCTCGTTCACGGCAGAGAGCGTTGCTTTAGATGACGTTGCCTTTTACGTTTCACGCAAGTTGTTGAACCGATGCTCAGGTCAACGCAAGCGTATTTGCGCTGCGTGACACCCTCCTTTTCCAGTCTGTTCGCCTAGCACATGTGTGCTCAGTGGCCTCGGAAAGAAAGAAAGAGGAGGAGGAGGAGGAGGATGAGGAGCAGGAGGAGGAGGAGGAGGAGCAGGAGGAGGAGAAGGAGGAGCAGGATGAGGAGAAGGAGGAGAGGAGGAGAAGGAGGAGAGGAGGAGGAGGAGGAGGAGGAGGAGGAGGAGGAGGAGGAGGAGGAGCGCTTCGTTCACCCAACCCTGCCCCTCTCCCTCCCCCCCCTCGCCACTCTCCGTCGTCACCCTCTGTCGCACGCCTCTGCCTTCACCTGACCTGGCGTCAGCCCCAGACCCCCAACGTATTGGAACAAGGAGACAAGGGCTTTTCGCCGTTTTGGGCCTCTATAGAGGCCCTCGCGGGGCCATGGGACCATAAACTTGCCCCAGCAAAGCACCCTAACACAAGGGCGCCCTCGAGGGCGCGAAGTTATTCGCGCTTCGCGGTTCGCGGTTCGCGGCTCGGCTCCGATCCTTCCTCATCCTTCTCTTCTCCCTTGGGAGGCGGCGCGAGGGCGCGAAGTTATTCGCACTTCGCGCTTCGCGCAGCGCGAAGCGCGAAGTTGGGAGCCCTTGCTAACAGCAGCGCATAGATCTTCCTGGGGAGGCCTCCTGCACGGGAAAACAGCGCGCCGGGGAGGGGAAGAGGGGCATCTGCAGAGAAGTTCCCCAGCTTCTGGCCCCTGGGCCTCCTCTTGTCCTGCCGCCGCTCGCACGTCAGGCGGGCACTCGTCTCTGCGGTGCGCCTCGATGCAGGGGCACTCGCAGCAGAGATGGAGGAGCGAGCCGTGTGCGTCACGGATGAGGCACCCGGCATGCTGCGTGGTTCCGTGCCCGAACAGTCGGGAGCCTTGAGACGGGGGTCAATGCAAACGGGGGTCAGCCAGGGCGCCAGATCCTGCAGGATCCTGCAAAGGCCCCCTCTGGCTGACCCGGGTCAGGGAGCCGCTCGTGGCCGCGAGGCGGCCGCGCGTATTGGCTGACCCGGGTTTGCGAGGATCTGCGTTGCAGTTTTTTTTTCCTGCATTGCAGTTTTTGGTTTCCTGCTGACCCGGGTCTGGATTGACCCGGGTCAGAAGGTCCCCGAAACAGGTCGAACTTGGGCTCAGTGAGATCCTCCCAGCAGGCTCCTCAGCGCAGTCTTGAGAGGAGGCGCCCACACTCCGCTGGTCGCCTTGTTGAGAAGATGGCCGAGAGGGCCCCGGTGCAAGACCGACCCCCCCCCCCCCCCCGTCCAACCTCCCGAGCGAAGAAACCTTCGAGGCGAGCAAGGCAGCCCCCTTCACCACGTCAATGATGAAGCCTAGCGTGAACTCAAGCACCGAGAACTGCAAACCTTGAAAATGAACAGAGAAGGCCGTTGGCATCTTGATGCTGACCCTCGCCATGCACAGGTGCCCGGATGCTGACCCAGTGCTTGGCCTTTGCGTAGAAGCTCCTCGCCGGCCTCCCAGCACTCCTCAGGGGGACCGCGCCCAGGCAGCTCTGACAGCGCAGAGAGAGAGAGGCAGAAAGAGAGAGAGAGAGAGAGAGAGAGAAAAATAAAGAAGGACATCAAACAAACATAGAGAAAGGGAAAGACCACTGTTTGGATACAGTCAACGCGCATAGTAGGACAAACGACTTTTTCAAGGGTACCCTTGGGTCCTTGCCTGCTTCAGCCTCTGCGGCCCGTCCCTGGCAATTTTCGCAGGCCAGAATACTTCAGCTTCGGCCTCCAAGGGTTCGCGTCGAGTCGTCGGAGCATCGGAATCGAATGGGAGACGGCTGGCCGACGTCGCTATCGGCTCGGACCGACCGGATCGAAATGGACCCTGGTGCCAGCTGCGCGAGCCCCAAGCGGCCGCCCAGCAGCAGGAGCTCGACCACAGGAGACCTTCCAGCCCACGAGAAGCCCAATCCGACACCCCAGGACGTGCATCGATTCTGTTCTGTGTGGGCACGCCGCGCGTCCTTCCTGTACGTTTTCCCTGTACTTCGGCTGCGTGCGCGATCCCGGGAGCTCAGAACGACCCTCCAGGGCGCGGCGCCGAGCCCGAGGCCCGGCAGGCGTGCCTTCGCGGGGGGGGGGGCGGCCCGCCGCTCGGGGGGCCGACGCTCGCCGCGCCCGTGCAACGCAAGACAGAAAGCCGAGATCCCCGTCGCCGCACTCCCCCCCAAAGCGACGTCGCCGTCGAAGAGCCCCCCTCCTCCTCCTCCTCCTCCTCCTCCTCCTCCTCCTCCTCCTCCTCCTCCTCCTCCTCCTCCTCCTCCTCCTCCTCCTCCTCCTCCTCCTCCTCCTCCTCCTCCTCCTCCTCCTCCTCCTCCTCCTCCTCCTCCTCCTCCTCCTCCTCCTCCTCCTCCTCTCTCCTCCCTCCTCCTCCTCCTCCTCCTCCTCCTCCTCCTCCTCCTCCTCCTCCTGCTGACATCTGTGCCCTCGCTCTGAGCCGGAGGACTCGCGAGGTGACTCGTTTCGCCTTGGCCACTCGCTGATCCGGCTCGCCTGCTCGCCTAGCCGAGCGCGCGTTGGCATTTGTGCCTAAACATATGGTGCCAACGAGCTTGTCTTCCATGGCTAGGGTCCATCGCTCATTCAACCTTGTGGCCAGGTCGGCCGAGGAAGTCAGACAACCAGTCTTATCCCAGTTGACGCGAAGTTGTTTGTCCTGGAGCCCACGGACAGGGGCCAACTGCAGCAGAACCTGCTCAGACGCCCCAAGCGCCTGGAGCAACAACATTATATGCTCAACCAAGTGTTGGAACTGTACCGCTGTGTACAACTTCTACAGCTTAACTAGCAGCGTGTGTACCAGAAGTTTGGCCAACGCTAACGCGCATCTGCAACGTGCAACTACCATGCTCAGACTGCCAGCGCTATCGCCCCTTGTCAGACTGCACGCCAAGGAAGCCGATACTCCGAACAGAGACGCTTGAGTATGGCCAAGGATAATCCAGTGTTGACAGCCTCTTGCCCCAGCTCCTCGCGAGAAAATGTACTTCTTCGCTGTACCTGAAGAGGTCTAGCGTCTAGCGGCCCATTGGCAGCCGAGAACCCTTTGAGACGGGCGAAGCGCTGCAAGATGTTGTTCACAAGTCCTGACCTCTCACTTGCGTGCTCCGAGTCTCCCCAGCATGCGGCGTTCTCGACGTCCGTCTCCCACCGCCGAGCAGCGACTTGACGACACCGAGACCAGACTCGTGCCCAGAGCGAGAACACGACGATCGGCCTAACGCCTCCCGGGGTATTGGGCTCACTTAGGACAACACCAGACGGCCTCTCGCCAGCAGCAGGTCCCTTCCACGGGAGCCTGCTCTTCTCTCATGCGGAGATTTGCGGGGAGAGGGAAGTGAGGGACAGGGGAGTGGCGCTGGAGTGGTGAGGGAGCGAGGCGAGGGAGGAGGGACGATTGTGGGAGGGAGGGGGAAGGGAAGGACAGGGGAGTTGCGCTGGGCGTGGCGAGGGAGCGAGGGGAGGGAGGAGGGGCACCCGACGAGTGATGCGAATCCCCCGACGCGGTGCTGGCCAGATAGAGTACGTGGAGCGGATCGAGTACGAGGACTTCATAGAGTACCGCGAGGTTCCAGTGGACAAGATCGTTGAG